CGCTGAGCGCCAGCGGGACCAAGCGGCGCAAGTGGGTGGAGTGCGTGTGCCTGCCGGGCTGGCATGGCCCCAGCTGCGGGGTCCCCACTGTAGTCCAGTACTCCAACCTGCCCACCAAGTCTCCGGCCTTGAGATCCCCCGGCGGGTCATCAATGCTATCAATGTCAACCATGAGTTTGACCTGCTGGACGTCCGCTTCCACGAGCTGGGAGATGTGGTGGATGCCTTCGTGGTGTGCGAGTCGAACTTCACAGCCTACGGAGAGCCACGGCCCCTCAAGTTCCGTGAGATGCTCCTCAATGGCTCCTTTGACTACATCCGCCACAAGGTGCTCTACGTCTTCCTGGACCACTTTCCCCCCGGCGGCCGCCAGGATGGCTGGATTGCTGATGATTACCTGCGCACCTTTCTCACCCGGGACGGCATCTCTCGCCTCCGCAACCTGCGCCCGGACGACGTCTTCATCATTGATGATGCCGATGAGATCCCAGCCCGCGACGGTGTGCTCTTCCTCAAGCTCTACGATGGCTGGACGGAGCCCTTCGCCTTTCACATGCGAAAGTCGCTCTACGGCTTCTTCTGGAAGCAACCAGGCACCTTGGAGGTGGTCTCTGGCTGCACCATGGGGATGCTCCAGGCAGTCTATGCTACCGACGGGATCCGTCTGCGGCGCCGCGAGTACTACACCATGCCTGGCTTTCGGCAGTACGAGAACAGCACAGGACACATCCTGGTGCAGTGGTCGCTGGGCAGCCCCCTCCACTTTGCTGGCTGGCACTGCTCCTGGTGTTTCACCCCAGAGGGGATCTACTTCAAACTGGTGTCGGCCCAGAATGGGGACTTTCCCCGCTGGGGTGACTATGAGGATAAACGAGACCTCAATTATATCCGGGAGCTGATCCGGACTGGTGGCTGGTTTGATGGTACTACGCAGGAGTATCCCCCCGCCGACCCCAAGGAGCACATGTACGCTCCCAAGTACTTGCTCAAGAACTACCAGCGGTTCCGCTACTTGTTGGAGAACCCCTACCGAAAAGCAGAGGGCGCTGGGTGAGGCCTCGCGTGGGAAGTCGGAACTTCAGAACAAAGGGAAACTCGCGTGTCTTCGTCTGCTCCTTTCTTTTCTTGTTTTCTTTGGTTCTGGGTGGGCTGTGCCATTTCTGTGAGGTCTCTGCCTTCCCTCCCTTCCTTCTCCCCTTCATCCCAGGGTGAGCATGGGGACACTGATTCCTCAGTCATGTGAAGAGCAGGAGGAGGAGAGATGTTGGGGACCTACTCTGGCAGTAGCATAAAGCCTGTCCTGTGTCTCCAGGACCTCTGTTGCTGGCTGGAGAGAATCTCTGCAGCCAGCTGGTGGATTTGCCTCTGGGGGAGGCTGGGAGGGTCCCATGGGGAGAGAAGGCAGCTGTTTCCATCCATGCTCATCCTTCGTGGATCGGAGCAAGCACAGATGTGAGCCTGGGCTATTCAGAGAGCGTTTGAGTCAGCAGGCACAAACCCATGCGAGCGGTCACGTGTGCAGATGTGTCACAGGCGTCTTTTGGTTGAGTGAATGTGCAAAAGCATCTCTGTATGCATTTATTTTTTCGATTACCTCTGTTCAGAGAGTATTTTTGGGGAAGGGAAATCCTTTGCTTCCAAGGTGTTCTCCCCAAGATGCAGCCTCCTCCTGCAGGCTTAATGCATCTGTCCTGGGCTGTGTCTTAGCCTGATGCTCTACCAGTCCTGGAGCAGGCAGGTGGGAAGCAGGGGTGTGTTTTTTAACTCCTTTTTCACCCCTGCCCCCACAACACTGCACTGGCTTGGCCCTCAGAAGCTGAAGCATCTTCCCTGCAGTACATGCTTCCGCTGCAGCTCGGATAAGCTGGAGGAGATTTGATCAGACGGTGGGAGTGTATGTTTACAAGTGCATGGTTTCCTATGTGCATGAGTGCTAACATGCATGGGTTTGGTATGCACGTGGGCGTTCGTTGCCAGTACTGGGGGGGAAGGGGACGTAGTTGGGCTTGCGTGTGTGCTTTTGGGAAATGTTGGGATCCAGAAGCTGTGATGTTGGTCTTTGATTATTTTTGGGAATTCATGGGAAAGGGCCAGCAAGAGCATCGGCTCTGCATAGCAGGGCTACGCGTGTGGGACTGCTGCATGCCTCTGGCTGCCTCTGCAACCCTGCGGGCTGTGCCTGTTGCAGGGCTGCTGTTTACATGTGCTGGCTATTCCTTCGTGCCATGGGGTAAAAGGGAGAGGAGAAGGGCAAAGCTCTGAGTCAGCGATGGGTGTTGTGGGGAAACACAAAGCCTGTCGAGGCACAGGATCCATCTGTCTGCTTTCAGGGTGTGAAGGAGCTCATGGAGAAGCATACCACGGGCACTCCCCTGGGGACCAAGAGACTTGGGGCCATCATGCAATCCAGGGAGCATGTGCAGCCAGGACCATGCAGACAAGAGGGGGATCTAGGACAATGCTCGTTGCAGCTGCTTGGGCCAGCGTCTGCTCAGTTGGACAGTGATGGGCTGTCAGGATCTAACCTGTTGTTGGATTGGATTGATTTGGCTCACTGAGGAGGCAGATCCACATCTCCACCCTTACCACCCTTCCTTAGCAGAAGGCTTGATGGGCTGCCCAGAGCCTGGGCTACAGTGGGCAAAGGGGGAAAAACACGACGAGCTTGCCCAAAGAGGATCATATGGAGGAAGAAAATCTTGGCGTAAGGAAGAGTGACCCTGAAGCTGTGCTGAAGGGGGGGTTTTCCATTCCCATTAACTCACTCCATCACGGCTCCATGTTGTCCAGCCCATTCCCACCCTTGTGTCTCATTCCTGTGTCCTGTATCTCTCTTTCTCCTTCCTATTCCCCTCTCTAGAGAGATTAGAAACACCAACAAAAATAACTTGATTGCCTAATAAGACCAAGACTGGAACAGAAGGAAGATGAACATTATCTGATCAAACTGAGATGTTTATCTTAGCTCCTTCCACGTCTCATGTGCCGTAATGCCTGCTTAAGAACTGCAGAATCCTCTTGGTTTTCCGTTGTTCTTGAGGGTTTTTTTTGTATTTTATATCACTGTTCTCACTTCTCCTGTGTCTTCCCCACAGGAAGAAAAGTCTCTTTGGGAACTGAGTGAGGGAGAAGCTTTGGTAAGCAGAATGCTCTTCCCCTAGAGGGAAGCTGATGCAGCAGGAGGGAGCTGTGTCCCAGGATCCTTGTGCCACGTGGCAGGTTTTGGGCAGAACGGCATTGTAGAGCGATGGGACCCAGCTGAGAAAGGAGGAGCCTGCGTTGAGCAAGAGGAGAGCAGTGGCACTGAGGCTGCAGCACGAGGGGAACATGCTTTCCCTGGGGGCAACCAGAGGAGAGCAGGTGTGTTAGCTCATGGGATTCAGTAGCAGAAAAGCATGGATGGAAGAGCTATTTTTCATTTTTACTCTTGGAACAGAGCCTGAAATCTACTCTCAGACCTTTGGCTTTGTCTTATCTCGGTGACAGCAGCGGAAGCCCAGTGCCAGGCCTTGCTGAAGACAGGTGAGAAAGAGAAGGCAGTCTTTGCATGGGTGCTTTGGCAGCACCAGAGCCTGGTGAGCAGGGAATAAAGTGCATGCGTGCTGGGGCTGCACCTTGTTATCTTCTGCAGCGGGAGAAGCCTCTCCTCTGACACCAGCCCTTCGCGTGCGTGCGTGTCCTTGGGGATTTATAGTGTGCTGCAGGTCATGTTTTCATTGCTGAGGTGTGGCCTTTGTCTCTTGGGTATTTCAGGTGAGCCTGCAGGATCTGGATCTCCTACTCTGAAGTACAGGCTGTTGCCTTCTCTCCCCTCTCCTCCATTATTCCATCATTCCCTGCCTCTTCCTCCAAAGTTCCTCTCCCTTCTGCCACCTTGGGCAGGAGGAGACGGTCCCACTGAAAGAGCAGCGCTGGGGCTCTTCTGCAGGGCTCTGGCCCTCTTGTCCTCCTGGACTTACTCGCTTTCTTACTCTTAGGAAATTAAATTTAAAACAGATTTCTGTTGTAGTGGGACGAAGGGACTTTACAGATGAAATGTATTCTTTTTTTTTTTTCTTAAGAATCGTTTAAACATTTCTTGATTTAAGGCCAAACCAGTCAATGTTTCTGTCTAATTTGTCTGGCTAACCCTGTGTTTATTATCCTTAGGGAGCTGGAGTGTTTGTCATTTAAAAAAAAATCTTCCCTGGTGTCCCCAGGGGGTTTGGGGACTAGCAAGCACAGCGATTTCCCAAGGTGGCTTGCCCTCTGTCCAGCCTTGCCTGTACTGCTGCGCCGGAACCTCAGCAGCCAGCATGTGGGGGGACAGCCACTCTCCAACAAGAGGGAACCCAAAAGCGTGTGGGGGCGTGGGGTGGTGAGACGCAAAGGAGGAAGCAGGTTTGCATCAGATCCTCATTTCCCACCGCTGAACTCTTTGAGGTGAGCACTGAGGCTCCTTCATCTTGTCTGAACCGAGGTTTGAGAAGGACTACAAAGCCCCATCCTGCCCTGGGCTGAACTGGGATCAGCCCACCACTGATGCCTGTCGGTTGTTGCAGCCGTGTGCCTGCTGTTGCTCTCGGGGTGAAGCTGTCTGGTGGAGGGTGGGAAACCATCACCAGCCTTTCCCTGCACTGCTCTTCAGCTCTGTGCTTCTTCTTGCCCAACACCTTTCTACCTTCAAAATAATTGGTGCAGAGGAGGGCCAGGTAGTGGGTGAAGCAGCATGTGGCATCCCCAAGCCCTGTGCTTCCTGCTCTCTGTTCTTGCCTTTCTCTGCTTTCCACCTAAAAAAGGGATTGTGTGCCTGTGTGTGGCTTTGGGATGGGGAATTCATCTTCCTACTTCACCCTGAGTGAAGGGAAGGCTGTGGGCTTTGGGGGACCTGCAGCAGGTGAGCTTGCTAAAGCAGAGGGAAGGGGACAGGTCGGCAGTCTCTGCCCCTCGGTGGGGGGCTAGGGATGATGCCGTACCCTGGTGACAGACAGAGCTGGGGTGGGTTTGTGCCTGCGCGGTCACTATGAAGGATGACATGCCCAAGTCCGCTGTCTCTTTCTCTGATCCCTGTGTCCTGTTGAGGCGTTTACTGTCCTGCAGCTCGGTCCAGCCTGCTCTTCACGTCTCTGTGGCCAGTGAATGAGGGGTCCTTGCGGCCTCTGGGTAATGTAGGAGCTGGTGGGGGGGGGAGAATGTCAGAGCAGACAGATGTTTGCTCCCCTTTGCCCCCTCTTTGGTGTATCCTTGTGGGATAGTAGTGTCTTTTTTTTTTTTTTTTTTTTTTCCCCCTCCCAAACATCCCCTGGGCTCTGTCCCTGTCTCCCAGCTCCTGCCAGCAATCTCCATGGCTGCTGTGCCTCTGCACTGTGAAGACACGTGTCCAGGGTCACCCCCGGTCTGATGAGTGAACACAGGTGGTGGGGAGGGAAGGGATGGCTTGTCCTGGCTTCTCTGACCTCAAACCTCTGTGAGAAAGGAGGGAAGTGTGTGGGAGAATGGATCCCAAATCCCTCCATCCTTGTGTTCTCCTCATGCCACTCTCAAAAAAAAAAAAAAAAAAAAAAAGGAAAAAAGCCTCCCTTCTGATTTCTGAGGCATTGGACAAACCTGCTCTTATTATGGAAAGAGAGGGAGCTGGAGGTAAAGGGGCAGGGGGGGTGGTGTGGTGTGGGCAGGAGGGGCTTGGATGCAGCACCATGAAAGAAGAGCTGTTTCTAATGCAATACACTGACATGTAAAGCTTTGGGGACTACTGCTAGTGGTGTAAGAAGGGATCCAAAATACTCGGAGACTAAGAATTCAACCCACTGTTTTGTTTCCTTCCTGTGCGGGTGATGATGGAGTTATCATCCTGGAGGTGATCCAGCAGCGCTTCCAAGCCTGGGGTCCACCTGGACTTACTGGTGGTGTTGCCCCTGGGATAGCCCCAGAACACCCTGCTTTGGCAAAAGAATGCGTGGACTTGCCAAAAATAAAATAAAACCAATAAATAATTAAAAAAAAGAGCATCTGCAAAGCTCCTTCCCACTCTGTAATTTATAAACAGCAAGTAATAATGAACTTTTTGTAAGGATAAATCAAATGTACATCCTGAAATCATTTTCTCTGTAAATGGTTGGATTTCAT